CTCTCTCTTTCTCTTTCTCTTTCTCTTTCTTTCTCTTTCTCTTTCTCTCTCTCTCTCTCTCTCTCTCTCTCCTCTCCTCTTTCTTCTCTTTCTCTCTCTCTCTCTCTCTCTCTCTCCCTCTCCCCTCTCTCAACACACACAACACACACACACACACACACACACACACACACACACACACACACACACACACACACACACACACACACACACTACATCCACACACACTGCGTACAAACACTCGCATTACACACACAACCCGCCATCCTTTACTTCCTTCGATTCCCGAGTGCCAAAACCTCCTCCTTTCTTAGTTTCAAATCTATATGGATACCGGCCACTATTGCATAGCGATGAGGAGGGCGTGCCGATATGCGCCGATATCCGTTCCCGATAATCCGATACCCGATACCCGATATACCGACCAAATCTGACGTCTACATCGCTTGCCAAACACACCTCGCCTGTGTACTTATTACCGGGCGCAATCGTCTCGGTTTCGGGGAAAGAAAAACACTCGCGGCTTTTCGCGGGGTGGGTGACGGCGGCTTTTCGGGTATGTGGGCGGGGTGGGTGACGGCGGCTTTTCGGGTATGTGGGCGGGGTGGGTGACGGCGGCTTTTCGGGTATGTGGCGGGTGGGTGACGGCGCTTTTTCGGGTATGTGGTGGGTGACGGCGGCTTTTCGGGTATGTGGGCGGGGTGGGTGACGGCGGCTTTTCGGGTATGGGGCGGGTGGGTGACGGCATGTGGGCGGGTGGGTGACAAGATCTCCCGATCCATTGCGGAATCGGCGCTTTTCGTTCGTTTTATTTGGCCGGTCGTTCGTTTTCTTTCTTTCTTTCTTCTTTTCTGTTTTCTTTCTTTCTTTCTTCTTTCTTTCTTTCTTTCTTTCTTTCTTTCTTTCTTTCTTCTCTCTCTCTCTCTCTCTCTCTCTCTCTCTCTCTCTCTCTTCTCTCTCTCTCTCTCTTTCTTTCTTTCTTTCTTCTTCTTTCTCTTTCGATCTTTCTCTCTCTCTCTCTCTCTCTCTCTCTCTCTCTCTCTCTCTCTCTCTCTCTCTCTCTCTCTCTCTCTTCTCTCTCTCTCTCTCTCTCTTCTCTTCTCTTCTTCTCTTTCTCTCTTTCTCTCTCGATCTCTCTCTCTCTCTCTCTCTCTCTCTCTCTGCGAAATTTTACGGTGAAAATAAAATTCCTCCCATATCTATCCATTACAGACCAAACCACAAAACTCTCCACAGAAAGGGACTGCTTCCCACGTAAAAGCAAAACGCCAGGACGAATAACAACAACAAGCAAACGAGGAAGTTTTCAAAGTCGGCCGTGGCTTCGGCGACCCGCGCGCCGCTCTTGTACAATAACACTGCATGTATATAACACCGAGCCCGGCCTCACCTCGGGACGTGGTGTCCGAATCGCTTGAGCACTCGGTGGCTTCGCCTAGCGGAGGGAAGAACTGGTTCACGAGCTTCGACTCCTCGGGACTGAGCTCGCAGGCGGTCACCGTGTTCGGGTGCGCCGGCGAGACCGACAGCGAGGCCACGGCGGCCGACGGCGCCTGCGAGGAGTAGGACAAGCCCGAGGTGGCGGGCGCCTGCGTGGGCCCCAGGATCAAGGGGGCGTGCTGCGACGAAGGCACTTGCGGCGGCGGGGCGGGCGCCGTCGGGGGCAGGGGGTGGTCCGTGGCCCCGCCGTGGGCGTGCACGAAGCTCAGCTCCGAGGGCTTGGGCAGGATCATCCTCTTGGGCGCGACGCCCTGCGAGTACACGAGCGGGTACGTGTGGCCCTGGGCGGCGGCGGCGGCGACGGGGAAGTGCTGCGGCGGCCGCATGCGGGTGAGCGTGTTGGTGTAGAAGGGGCGCGTGGTGGGCCGCGTGTGGTCCAGGATGTCCTGGAACCGCTCCGGGTGGTGGTGCTGGATGTGCTTGCGCATGTTGGTGGTGTTGGTGTAGGCGCCCACGAAGGAGCACAGGCGGCAGATGTAGTGGCAGTTGTCGACCATCCCGAAGTAGCGCCAGACCCGCGACGTGCGCCGCGTCGAGCCCACCACGCCCACCACCTCGCTCACGCCCGTGCTCATGCCGAGGTTCAGGGTGTCCGTCGACAGGGGGCTGTTGTTGCTCACGCCCTCGTTGTTCATCGCGAGGGGACCGCCGCGCCCGCGCCGAGCCTCGCCAACCGGCGCTCACCGACGGGCAACCAAGAGTCCAGGGGCGGCCGCCGAGGCCTTCGACCCTCCGAGCGGGGAGGTCCTTCCGGGGGGGCGGGGCGCGGGGCAGGGGGGTCGCGGTCAGCTGCGGTCGAGGCTCGGGTCGCTGGGGATCTCGCTCCTGCAATCAGACGCTGCCTTGTCAAGCACATGGCACCGACACCGCTCGCGCTCGGTAATGGTAGATATGCCAGGGTATGCGCGGGGAAGGGTGTGTGTGTGTGGGGTACGTACATACCCCACACACACACAAGTGCGAGTGCGCGTGCGTATGTGAGCTTGAGTATGAGAGCGTGTATGTGAGAGTGTGTGTCTGTATGTATGCGTGTATGTGTGTGTGTGTGTGTGTGTGTGTGTGTGTGTGTGTGTGTGTGTGTGTGTGTGTGTGTGTGTGTGTGTGTGTGTGTGTGTGTGTGTGTGTGTCTGTGTGTGTGTCTATCGCCTACCTACCTATCTAATCTATCTATCTAATCTATCTATCTATCTATCCTATCTATGTGTATGTGTATGTGTGTATGTGTGTGTATGTGTATATATGTATATTGTGCGTATGTATATATGTTATATATAATAATATATATATATATATATATTATATATATATGTATGTATATGTATATGTATGTGTGTGTGTATGAGCGCTCGCGCGCGTGTGTAATGTGACGGTTACGGGTTCACCTGTTATCGCATCCCTAGATTTAAACATCTGTGTGTGTGTATATGTATGCGCAGTAACTGTGTACGCATTGTGTGTTTGTACAGGCTACATATTTATGCTGAAAGTCTTTTAACTATGCAAGTAGCGATGCGTGTTCAGCTCCTCACGTTTGGCGACTGTCATGATTTTGTCACAATTGCAATGCACACGTTTCCAAGTTCCGCCATTCAGGAAAAAAAAATTCGCCTGTCGCAGAGGGAGTACAAACATAATCAAACATTCGCGGAAAATCATGAATGAAAACAACAACAACAACAATCCTTAACGAGTTATTTTTGTCACTGCCGTTCAACTTTTTTTTTTCTTCTTCTCTCTCTCTCTCTCTCTCTTTCTCTCTCTCCACCGACAGGCACGTTAATAATTCGAAACGCAATGAAATCGCACAACTCTTCGCTCGCCTGTTCTTTTCAAAACTTTCCCGAGGCGTGTGTGGGTCGCCACGCCACGCGAGAGAGAGAGCACCGTATCGGCCCCGTGTGCGTCCCTCGTGCTCCTCTAGTACGCAGTAGTCCGGCGTGCTCGAGAGGCCCATCTTGGTAGGCTCTCCCGCCCCACGTCTCCCTTCCTACAAGAAACCATTGGGATCGAGCCCCCTCTCCGGCGCCCCGAGGCACACGCGCGCACACTACACGGGCTCACACTCCCGGACGCAACCACTAGCACACTTCTCGCGCAGAGTGCCTGCCAGGGGGGGAGGCGAAGGCGTGCAGCAGGCCTGGCAGAAGTGGCGGGGTCCTAGCGCTCCGCACAACTGTAGGAGAGCGAGTGAGGCTGGCCCACTGATACCCCAACCCTGATATCTGATATCGACCGATACCGAGCACGCTGCATCCGGACCTCTCCACCTGGCCCAGGATTCGCCTTCGCTAGATCGAACGCGGCCGCGCTATCGCAAAAGAGTTTTCCTCGGCGCTCGCTCCTCCGCAGGACCAGTTTGAAACGAAGGCGCGACTCGGCGTCTCACTTCTCTCCCAACCGCACTCCCGGCTCCGTAGCGCGACACTACAGCGGAGCGTAAAGAACGGGCCAAAGATGCCGATATCTATGACCCGCCGGCCGATGTAATTCCATGGGAAGTCTCGATGACAGTGGCAGTAGTCAAGTCCAAGAGGGAAGCCACCGCGGCCTTGCCTAAGGCCGATAGTCTCATAACAAACACACAGGTAAAGCACCTTCCGAAATGTGGTTTATGGGGGTCTGAAGCAGGAGGCATCTCCTCTGTTGCTGGTGATGCTTTGTCTGATAGCGAGTAGCGACGCAGATAAGGGCCGCGCGGATTATGAGAGAGTCCGAGTTGCGTCTCTCTCTGAAGTGACCAGAACATTAACCGGCCCGTAATCTCCATCCAAAAACGCCCACACAACGCTTCCCGAACAGGCCCTGGGAGAGAGCAGTCACGCTCGTAATATCTTCCATTATCTCGACTTTTTATTTCCTCCGACAATAGACTTATTAGATAGGTCAGATAAGGAGGCAAGGTCAAAGTACCGAGAGCCGTGGATGCTCGAGTATCAAGATGAAGCACGCTACACTCGGACGGGGTACAGGTACTATCGGCGCGAGGTACAGGGCATGGACTGATAAGTACAGGGCTGCCGAAGCACTGGTGTAACCCGGACAAGTTTCCACGAACTGAGGGCGCTCTCGTGGACGCTCTGGGTCTCAAAAGGCAGCCGCACACTGCTTACCGCACTCACCATGTGAAAAGGTTTACAAATACACACGCACTTACGTCCATACACGCACATGTACATACATACATATATATACACATTTGCATACAAGTAAATAAAACACACACACACACACACACACACACACACACACACACACACACACACACACACAACATACACACATACACACACATACACACACATATATACATACATATATACATACATATATACATACATATATACATATATATATATATATACATATATATTATATATATATATTATACATTGTAGAGAATATAAACACGACCAGGAAAACCTGTTAAGAAAATCCGATCATTATTTCATGTTTACTGTTAACCGAGGAGGGAAATTACGCCGGCACATATGGATCGCGGCTGCGGTCAACAGCTTGGAAAAGTATATGTAGTGACTGACAAAGGGATCAGGCTACGTTGTGGCAAACGAACGTAATATACCAGAAATAGCGTAATGAGCAGGTTTGCCCGGGTAACATGTCTGGGATTTACTCCAAGTCGATGGGGTGTATAATGCGTCTATTAGTGAGGTTCAGGCAGGTGGTGCGGTGCAACATGGGTGTTCAAAAAAAATGGGAAACAGAGCCGTAAATTGGGACAAGGTACGAATCCTGTGTTAGTTGTCTGCGCAGGGGGAGGATGAGAAGTATACGCGATGCAGCTGCAGTGTGATCTCCGTCAGAACGTGTAGGCAAAGTTATACATACGTTTCCGACATACAATAAAACGACTGTTATATATAGAACAATACAGATCTTCTATAATCATACAGTAAACGGGTTATATTAGAACATACATATTCTAGTCAGGATTGTACAGTAAACGCGGTTAGTACTGATAAGGACCAAATATTTCGTCACTTGATAAATAAGATGGGTTATTATATGAACATCGTGTTCATCAGGATGAAATGGCTTACGTATAACGAAGGATCACGTGGTTTATTTTTTTCTATTGGTGTTTTATCGTTTTCCTTGTGGGTTTTTCTCTTTTTCCTCTATCTCTTCTTGCGCCTATCTTCCTCTCCTCTCTCATGCTCTCTGCTTCGTCCGTTCCTGCGTTCTCTCTCTCTGTCTTCTGCATCCTTATCTAATCAATTCATCATAAACCCTCTTCTCACCTCCTCTTCTCTTCTCTCCTCTCTCGTCCCGTCTACTACTGCCTCTGCTGTATCTCTTGATTCGGTACCCCTCCTAATCTCGATTCCCTCTCTCCGATCTCAGCTCTCCTCGTTCTCTCTCCGTCCTGTTCTACGCCTCAGACTGAGCAGCAGGATTACTTTTTTCTCTTATCGACCAGTCCGGAGGTCCACGAAGTTCTCTGCCCATTGGCGGATTCGGCGACTATCTCGGGGGTACAGACGTTGCAGACCTCTCGTAGTCGCCAGTCCATCGTCTCGGGGCCACGATCGCTTTCTTCCCTTGTCGGCTCGTTCTCCTCATACTGCTCGTCTCTTCTCTCCCTGTCGTTCGCTTCCACGTACGGCCTGTCTCCCTTCTCGTTCGGGCGTCTCTTTCTTCTCTGCACATCCGTTAGTTCGGCTCATTTGCATTTGCGCATGGAGAGATCTGGAGATGTCTGTTCTCTCTGCTCTCTGTTTTTGTTCCTTGTCTTTGTTTTCCCTGTCAATTCTATACCTACAAGTAAATGGGATTATTTAAAACCAAATATTCTTCACATAAAATAAATGGGTTACTATAGAAGAACATACATATTTTTTTCTTTGTTTTATCTCTTATTTTTTTCCTCTTTTTTTTTTTTTTTTTTTTTTTTTTTTTCCTATCCCTTTCTTTTGTCCCGTTAGTCTACATTTTCCCTGTTTTTTCTTTCTTTGTTTTCCTGTCTATTCTATACATACAGTAAATGGGTTATATATAGAACACAAATATTCTACACATACAGCAAACGGGTTACACATACAACAAATACATTCCACACACACAATAAACGTAAAATAAACATCTTTTGACGAATTATTGAAACCCCATCCTCATTCCTCCTCCAAAATCTGCCACAAATGAATCCACTTGTGCTACGTCTTCGCATATATTTCCAATTCAAAAAAGAGTACTCAGGTTCTCGAAACACTTACACATCTGATAGGGAATGACGTAATACGATAAACCGGAGTGAAAGAGCAACGTAATGCCGGCTGTAGAAAGGGGTATGAATGGAAAGAAACATCCCCGCCATACGAGAGATGTATTTGACCGGTTTCGAACAGAGATATATTCCGAAACCGGCCAAATACATCCTTTGCACTGTAGAGATATTAATTCCCACATAACATAGATGCATTTGACCGGTTTCGAACAGAGATATACTTCGAAACCGGCCGACATCCTTCACAGTGAAGAGATAAATATGTATTTGACAAGTTTCGAACAGAGATATACTTCGAAACCGGCCATATACATCCTTTGCACTGTAGAGATATTAATTCCCACGATACGAGAGATGTATTTGACCGGTTTCGAACAAAGATATATTTCGAAACCGGTCGAATACATCCTTTGCAGTGAGATATTAATTCCCACCATACGAGAGATGTATTTGACCGGTTTCGAACAGAGATATACTTCGAAACCGGTCAAATACATCCTTTGCAGTGAGATATTAATTCCCACAATAAGAGAGATGCATTTGACCGGTTTCGAACAGAGATATACTTCGAAACCGGCGAACATCCTTCACAGTGAAGAGATAAATATGTATTTGACAAGTTTCGAACAGAGATATACTTCGAAACCGGCCATATACATCCTTTGCACTGTAGAGATATTAATTCCCACAATCCGAGAGATGTATATGACCGGTTTCGAAATATATCGCGCATCCCTGACAAAGATTTTATTCGAAAC